ATATTATAATAATGTAAGTTTTTTCCATACATTAACAGTAAATACTATATATGTAAGAAAATAAACGAGTGAAAATAAAATTAATAATACATTAAAGTAACGAAATAATATAAAAGATCATTTTCAATTAATGAAAATTAATATAATTTTTTTTATTAACCTGGATATCCAACCCGTTATGTTAGCCGACTAATCTCAGGGCGACCACCTGCTTTGCAGATAGCCTGAAGTCACCGTATTTGAACCTCCATGGTCACAAGGAGATTTTTATTCCTCATTGGATTTAAACCTAGGACCTCCTAATACTTTTGACCTTTAGAGGCAAGCTCAAACCAATTAGGTGTGGTTGAAAATTAATATAATTTACATCGCATAAGAATGAATTAAAACAAAATAATAACTTACTCATATTATGTCTAGTCCTACCCTCTTGTCATGTCCTATCAAGTTCTGTCATGCTCAGTCATGTTCAATTATGTCTGCGTACCAAATGATACCTTAAAAAAAGAAATGTAAAATAATCAAAAAAAGAAAAACTACCATCATATCCTTCCTTAATTATAGATGAAACATTAATTAAAATTGTTAGATTAGAATGATTAGATGGTTAAGATTGGTTATTAAGCCCTCAACCTTTTTGTGATTCTCATTTAATTACCGTCCTAATATCATATACTTAAAATATAAAGGTTATTTGGCAGTCGCACCACATAAACAAAGTAAATAATAACCAATGATGGTTAAATTCCGATGAAAATGAAAGTTATGATGAGAATGATAAGAATGTATCTTTATTCTTAGATAAATTCTAATTGAAGATCAACACTAACAGGGTGTTTGGGATTACTTATAAAAACAACTTAGACTTATTCTGGTGTGGTACCGGTAACAAGAATTTTTGAGTGTTTGGATAAACAACTTATACTGGTGTCAAACCGGTAATAAAAAGTTTTTAAGAAGTTAAACCATTCTAATTATAATAAGTTGATAAACATTTTTGTAGAAAAACATAAGTTGTTTCAAATAAACAATCTCACACACCTCCTAATTCGTACACCGAGATGCACATGATAATTCAAAGTAAATAACAATCGATTTAAAAGCTGGCAGGTTATCCGTTACTATAATAAATAATTTTTTAATATTGTAACGCTCTAATAAAAAATAATTTAAAAATAGAATATTTAATAAAAAGTTAATTATATTTTAATTAAAAAATCACCTTTTTAGCTTTACGAACATATAAGGCAATTTTTGCAACTTGGAATGAATTTAAGCCGTGGATGCTTCTGGTACAGGAGGCAAGTTCATAATACAGAAATTGGGGAAGATAGATGCATATGTCAGGGTTGTAATCAGCGAACAACAGCAAGGTTCAAGAGAAATTGTGTGGTGTGGAAGAGTGATTTTAAAGCCCTAAGGTATCAGAACCCTAATTTTGGTGTTACTACTTCAGCATATCATCAAGGTAGCTATTGGTGATTAGGGTTTCTCCAGCAATCTGAAGATGGTGAGTCATCGTTCACGAAATATTGTTTTCGATTTACAGTTTACAAATCTGCACTTCTGTTTGCTGAATTTTGTTTTTTTTGTTATTGATTTCTCTATATGATTAGTTCTGTTTTACTTTGATATCGTAAACTAGTTCCTCGGGGTCGATAGATCACTAACAATTTGGTTATAATTGAAGTTAATGGATGTGGTTCTAGCTAATTCAGTATTTCTTTCCATAATTAAAGTGATTTTGATTGTAATACTTCCCAATTTCAGAGTTGCTGAACACCACCAAAGTCCACCATGATTATTGGTTTTCAGATAACAAGCATGCAAACACTTTTTCCTTTTTCTATATTGAAATACCAGTCAGCGCGAGAATAGATTTATTCTTGAAAATTACATTGATGGTTTTAACTGGACATTCATGTGGGATCAATCTTTTGCTTGTTATGTTCTTACCGATTCTGAAGTTAAAAGCAAATTGATTTGACAAGTGAAAACTGGGTTCTGTTTTGGAATTGGGGGATTAATTACTTATTCACTTGGAATCATATTTTATGTATGATTACAAGAATGTCATTTCTAATCGTAAGTAGGTTTAAGATCCATGTGTAGAATAACTTGGATTTAGTCTGGGATCCTTTGATGGTTTTCATCTTTCATGCTTCAACTCTAGTTCTTGGTACATAGTTCCATAACAAATATATCCTCCCCATTTCTGGCATCAAAACAAGTTATTTTCATATTCAAATAATTTTATATTGAAAGTTAACTTAATTTACGTTGTATTGGAGTTTAGAAGTAGCTTTTTAAGAATCTTATGATGGAACAAACAAGGTGAGTATATTTTCGGGGTGCTAGATGGTTACATGTAAAACTGTGGAAATGGTACTTTCATTTCAGAAGCGGGTTAGTGGCTTAGTGCATATGCTTACAGATTTATTGATCTTATTTCTCACTTTGTACTTTCATTATTACTGGCAGAACAAATTGGGAAGGGGGCATCGTGACAAGGTTCAACAGTTCATGACAATTACTGGGGCAAGGTGACCCACTCTTCTTATTATTTGGTTAACATTTTCTATAATGATAATAGTATGAGTTGTACACAGCCGGCAATTTTTGACATGTTGTATGAAAACTTTTAATGACTCGTACTTTTCCACTATTTGTCAATTCCATACACTTGTACTATCAGTAACCTTCTGATGGTAAATCCAACTCAACTTTTTGTCTATTCTGAGCAAATTGAGAAGTTTCAGTGGATACTAAACTTGCAGATTTGTACAATTTTTGATGCCGTAAGATAAAGATGATTTTTAATCAATAAGTGTATTACTAGACGGTTTGCTGTTAATGGATTTAGCATCTCTTAATTGATAACACGTGATTCAACTCTTATTTACATTCCTAGTGTTGGTTGCCACTTGCCTGATTTTGTGTACCTTGTTTCCTTTTCCATATTTCCGAATGCAGTGAAAAAGTTGCTCTTCAGGCCTTGAAGGGCAGTGAATGGCATCTCGATGGAGCTTTTGATGCATTCTACAGTCAGCCTCACACCAAATCATTTACTGATACGAGACATTTAGAGGAATTGTACAATAGATACAAAGGCACGTTTACCAATTCATTATTACTTTTGTCCTGACATGCATGAGGAACTATGTTATCTATATTTTTCTGTCTATGGAGGAAATATGGGATTGTGTTATCTAATACACCAACCTGTGCTGTCTCTTGGTCTGAGGAGAGCACTCATCATATATATATATATATATATATATATATACATGCATATAAATATATAAATATCCTTTTTTCGTTGCAAAGCTAAGGTGATCAAATCATCCATGATCCCATCTTATATCAGAGTGATGATGTTGCCCCATCAGACAGAGGCAGCTTGGTTTTTGGTTTTTAGTTTTAGTCATATGGTGTTTTCATATGATCTGCTGTTTAATAAACTGCTTACCCGAGAGTTCCATGGATTATGTAAAACATGGATCCGAAGTAGCAAGCACCACATATTTTTTTTGCTTCTCTTTAGAACATAAGGTATCTTAATCTGATTATGTTTATCTTGCTTTTTAGATCCTTATGCTGATATGATTATGGCTGATGGTATTAGTACCCTCTGCAATGATGTTCAGGTAACTCCAGCAAACATTTTCTCAAATTAATCGTTACTGAAATAATCTCGTTTTGGTTTAATGTATAAGCTACAAAGAAGCTAGGTTGAAGAACATGTACCATTAAGATTTAAGCTTCTTGTAATTATTTAATTGATGCTCGAGTCTTCACAATGCTGTACTGATACTTGTTATCTTTCTGACAGGTGGATCCTCAAGATATCGTTATGGTATGTCCTGATGCATACATACATACATACATATATGTAGATATACACATACAGACATATATATTTATATATATATATATACACACATACATACATACATACATACATACATACATACATACATACATACATACATACATATAAATAGGATTTTCTCTTTCTATACGTCGAAAATCCAACCACAATTTTATCACAAGTAAAACCCCCAACAACTATTTAATAATTTTCACTTGATGTATTTACGGGATTCTTATATGTCGAGACCATGCAGAGAGAGGTGCATCACTATGCACTTATAAACTTTCTTGATTCAAGTAATACCCTATTAAAGGAAGAGTTATTTAAAGAATGTTTTATTAACGTTTTATTAGATAAACCCTTAAAAGTGGACCTACATGGACCTACATTGTTGACTTGACTGACACATTTTGCTGTTGCTACTTCAGTTGGTTGTTTCTTGGCATATGAAGGCTGCTACCATGTGTGAATTCTCAAAGCAGGAATTTGTCGGTGGCTTGCAATCTCTTGGGTACTTACATTTTGATTAACACCTTTTTTCTAGACTGAATCTGATATGTTACCAAGTTCACTGAATACTATTTACCATTTTTCATGACAGGATAGATTCACTTGAGAAATTCCGTGAACGGATACCATTTATGCGTTCTGAGCTGAAAGATGATCGTCTGTATCATACCATAGCATTTTCTGTCTTTAGTTTAAAACGAGCTTAATTATAGTCGCCACTCCTAAAAAAACAATTTTGTTTTGGTGTATTTAGTCCATGCACTTAAATCATTTTGAATCCATGAAAGTATTTACACTGAGATTACTGAATAATGTTGCACGTTATGTTATCTTCTCTTTCTGATAATTTATCTTGTTGCCTTAGAAAAATTCAAGGAGATATATAATTTTGCATTCGGCTGGGCAAAGGAGAAGGTACTTATGTAGCATATTCTGTTTACGTCAGTTAATGTTAACTGCATCATTTTTTGTTACCTTGTCATACACCTTGAAGAGCTAAAGAAGTCATTCTTGTTTGTGTACTAGTTTTTCTTTTTACTAAAGCTACCGAAGGTCAGGAAGAAACCATCAAATTAAATAGATGAATATGTGCTAATTTAAATACATACAGATAGTATCTTCATGTATATGTATATCCAATCATGCACACACACACACTTACATATACATATACATATACATATACATATACATATACATATACATATATATATATATATATATATATATACGTGTGTGTGTGCGTGCGTGCGTGCTTGTAAAGTGTATCTGCATCTGTATGCACACATTAATGTGTTTATGACTATTTGTAGATCATTACATTCATATATACATATGCATGTGACGACATACATACATACCTAAGTACATATACATAAACATGTGTGTGCTAATCTCCTGAACTGAATATTAACAGAAAATCTATGAAAATGTTTGTGATCTGCAAGGAACTACCTCCTTTTGTGCACTGTCTCATATTGATCTTGATGGTTCTTTCGTTAATTCAAAACCACTTTAATTCTTGGAGAAGTTGAAATAGCTGGGGAGATATTTTCTTTTACCAAATTTTTGCCATTTTGTACCAATAACTTTGTAGCACACTTATATTACATTCCATTTCAACGCTTAACTACTTCGGGATCATTTTCTGAACACCGACTATTTTGGAATCTTATCCCCCTTTGTTATCAATGAAAGGGTGATTAGGAATTAGAATATGCATACCATGAGTAATGCTGGTAATTATCAATTGTACAATTTTGGAATTTCCAAAAAGCTCTATTCTGTAATACTTTTAAATGGCACAGAAATGTGCTCATTAATAAAAAAGTTTTCGCTTTAGGTGCCATGGTATAATGTGGTCAACCTTCAATCCGGTTTCACTTGTTCTCGTAAAAGGAGACAGTAAGCAGAATAAGTAATGGAATATAATACAGGGTTATGATGAGGGTAGTTTGGTAATTGTTTCTGGGGGTGAGGTTATGAGCTTTAATAGTCGAGGCAGTGAGTAGGGTAGGGTATCTTTTGGCTATTGTTTGACTTGGCCAGTTGGGAAATCTTCCAGCAGTCTTTTCTTCTCTTTTTCCGATTGTAATCATTCAACTACCTCGATCAGGTAATGATCATAACGTTACTTGCATTCTTTTATGATTTTAGGGTCAGAAATCTTTGGCATTGGATACAGCAATCGGGATGTGGCAACTGTTGTTTGAAGAAAAGCAGTGGCCGTTGGTTGATCATTGGTGCCAGTTCTTGCAGGTAGCCTAATATCCGTACCTTCACCATTTCGTATTTCTCGACTACTATCACGCAATGAGATCGGTGGTTGTTTACACGTTATAGTGGATCAAATGATCATATTTCTCGTTCTTTTCTTGTTGTTAGGCCCGGCATAATAAAGCTATTTCTCGAGACACTTGGTCTCAACTACTGGAATTTGCAAGAGTAAGATCCAAAACCTCGAGCGTCAATCCCATGCATGCTTGCATAAATCTTGTTGATATTTGTTTTCTTGTTTTTATCTTATCTCTAAGTGATCACGAAAACCATGTGCATTACTATCTGTCCATTTGTAAACCAACCCCTTAAATTGATCACAGAAGCCATGGGCATTGTTGACCGTTGAACCAAATACCACATTAAGGTTATATCAAATGAGGATAGATTGATAAATTTTTAGTTTTGTCCCATTCTTGTCCCGTCTATTTTGGTGGAACAAAAAAAACCTTTTTTCTCCCATCCTGTCCCAACCCGTAACCCATGTTGCGCCAAATGTGGGAGAATGAGTTTTGTTCTATCCTCTTGTCCAGTCTCATGTATCAAACGCAGCCTAAGTGCCTAGAAGATCATTTCTTCACGGAAATAACTGTTCTACTCTTTGGAGTAGAGGACAGGTTTTTGTTTTGGGAGGGTTGTTTCATAGATGGAAGAGCGTGTTTTTTAACTGGGAGGGACAGGTTGGAAAAAAATTGGCTTTCTGCATAAAGCTCCCCTCTATAAGCTTACTGAATAAGTCACTCTATCATGTAGTCACTACCAAACAGTTATGTATAGTTGACCAAATAAGCTATGAGTCCCATTAAGCTCATTAAGCTTCTAACAAGCAGGCCCTTATACTTTGCCTTTTATTTGTTTTCCTTTCTGTCACAAAATAAATGCCCACAATGAAAAAGCCATATAGTTTTAGACTTAAATAATTATTACAATTTTTAATTAACTAAATGACAATTTTACCCTTAATAGCCGAGAGAGTAATGAATTTCTCCATCTCATAATTAAGGGTAGAATTGGAAATTAGTAACTTACTTTTGAAAATGGATACTTATTTTTGGACAAACTAAAATAGAAATATGGACACTTATTTTGGGACGAGGGAGTATTTTTTTTACTTAACTTTTTAGTTTACTGGTATGAAATATCTGGTGCCATTATGAAAATGAATAGAACTTGAATATGTTTGAGGTTTAGATTATACAAAGATTTATATCCCTGCTCTCAGTCAATCTCAAAGAGGTCTTTTTCTAAATCATGTTTATATACAATTTATGCAGAGTGTGGATCCTACACTATCAAATTATGATGCTGAAGGTGCGTGGCCGTATCTAATCGATGAATTCGTCGAGTATTTAACAGAAAACAACATAATTCAGAAGGGTCATGTGAAGGATTGGGGTCAGAAATTCTAAGAGTCCAGATTTGGTCTCTGCTTCTTCATTTGCAAGTAAGTCTCGCATCGATTCATCATTGAAAAAACTCAAATATATGTATAATTCACAAAAAGGAAGTGGCGTGTGTATGCATTATGATGGCTCGGCGATTGTTAGAACTTTTAATTCATTTGTCAAAACCTTCAAGGAGTTTGTTTTGTTTGTTTGTTCGGTTCGTGTTCTGTTTTTATTGCACTTGATATGTTTTAGTAATTGAAAAATGGTAGTCATTGTTTGAATGTAAGATAAAAAGGGTATCATTGTGTATTTGGAGACAAAAAAGGCCCGAGTTTTTTTAGGCCTATGCTGGGTTGGGCCTTGGGGTTTAATAAGGGCCAATTGGGCTTTTGAGACCGGGCTTTTTGGGCTTAATCAGGCTGTTTAAGTTGGGCCTCAAAATTTTGGCTTGATAGGCTTTGAGTCCTGGTCTGGACTTGGGCTTTATGCTCACTAGGCCCAGGCTTTTTCAAGCTGGGGATTTTTGTACATCTTTAGCTATGGGTTTTAAGTGTTAACTAGCTTGGTCGAGTCAAATAGTAAATTGTTCGAGCTCGGTTCAACGAAATTACATCAAGCTCGACTCGTGCTCGAATAATTTTTCAGTGTTGGAGCGTGAGCTTGTTGATCAAATTTGAATTGAACGTTATACCTAAATTCAAACTCTACAAAGCTCGTTTACAGGCTCTAACTCAAGGTAGATCAACTCGTTCATTGGCTTGAGCTTGATAACATTTATAGTTTGATTATATAATTTATGACATGTTTGTCTCAAAAAAGTGAATGCTCGAATGACAACCTTGAAAAGTTTAGAGCTTTCGAACAAGTGGAGTCAAAAATTGGTATTATGAAAGCTCAACTCCTTAAGTTAAACAAGTTCTTTTTTGTGTGCGGAATCGAATCGAGCTCAAGTAGTTCGTTAAAAGCTAGAATGGTTAACACCCCAAATCCCAACAAAGCAAGTGAAAGATGCGTCTTAAAAAGACAATTTCAGGAGTTCCTTGGTAAAACATATCAAACGTGTCATCATATCGATCCGAATGTTTCAAAGAACCAACATGCATTTTTTGTGCATCGTGATCTTTTAACTAATCCAAGTCGGGCTTTGGGGTTGAAACAATGCCTGATTAGGCTTTTTCAAGCAAGGTTTTTTCAGACATCACCGGTGTTTTGAATGTTTCAAAAACCAACATGCGTTTTTTGTGCATTGGGATCTTTTAACTAATCGAAGTTGGGCTTTGGGTTGAAACAATTCCCGATTAGGCTTTTTCAAGCAAGGTTTTTTCAAGCATAACCTGTGTTTTTAGTGGGTTTTACCAAACAAACTCGGTATATGCATCCAAATATTGTCATTTGGTTGGTTTTTCATTAAATCTTTATATGGATAAAGCTATCTGTTACATTGGTTGGTTTTTCATTAAGTCTTTATATGGATAAAGCTATCTGTTACATTGGTTGGTTTTTCATTAAATCTTTATATGGATAAAGCTATCTGTTACATTAGCAAGATTTTTGTTTGGTAAGGTTGTTCATAGATGAAACATGCTTGTTTTGACTAGGAGGGGCATGTTTGAAATTTTTATGGCTTTCTGCACAAAGCATTTCTAAAAGCTTATTGAATAAGTCACTTTTTATATCATTAAGTCACTACCAAACAATCATGTATAACTGACCGAATAAGACGAGTCATCATTAAGCTTCTAATAAACAAACCCTAAATGTAAATCCCCATATCATTTAAGTTCCCATGGGGACAAATCTTGTTTTACCAAAGCAAAGGGATGGAAGTGAATAAAAATAAACATGAAAAGCACATCATATATGCCTAAAATAATCCATTCATCTGATCCCAACCATATATCCTTTTATTTCCTAAGTTTTCTACTGGCAAATTGACTGCCATATCTTCAAACCTCAAAACAAGATTCTACACCATCCCTAAAATGGCAAGAAACAAGAAAAAGAAAATAAGAATTCAAAACATGTTGCCATTCAGACGAACACGGTGTGCTTAATTGCCTCTACCGATGATACTCTTTCAGTTGGAAGCTGCCACCAACGCCATATGCTCAATCAGGTCCAACACCCGGTTGCTGCACACAATCAATTTCACATATAACCCACAACACAACCAGATGGGCTTGAATGGCCGAATCAGATGTTTTCAAGGAGGACGGGTATGACAGAGAAGAATGTATTGTGTACCTGTAACCCCACTCGTTGTCGTACCACGATACCAGCTTCACAAATGATGCACTTAGCCCTATCCCGGCTTTTGCATCAAAAATACTTGATCTGAAGAAACCATATAATATATATCAGAAAACCAAAAAATCATTGGGTGGATAAAGTTGTCTGTGTGGATTATTTTGTCTATATAAATTATGAAGGTTTTTGTTTGGGAGTGTTTTTTCATAGACGAAGGAGCGTATTTTTTAATTGGAAGGGGCAGGTTTGGAAAGAAAAAAAAAACTTAGCTTTCTGCATAAAACTCCCCCCTAGAAGCTTACTGAATAAGCCACTTTCTATATCATTAAGACACTACCAAACAGTCATCTATATCTAACCGAATAAGTTGCGAGTCTCGTTAAGCTGCTAACAAACAGACCCTTATAGTTGTTGGCTAATAAACCAGCTGATGAAGCGCTTTGAATAAAATTAGTTGGTAAGCTAGACGACAATATAAAATGACCCGGCATACATGTAAAAAGTAAGGGGTATAACTGGAAAAAAGTGAAAAAAACACAATACTATCTGAAGTAGCTTTTTGAAAAAGCTAGCTTATAAAGCTACCTTATAGCTTACCAAAGACTTTCAATAAGCACAAAGAAAAGGATAGTTTATGGTTGCCAAGCATGGCCTACGATGAGCATGATCATAAGCACAAACACACAAGGGAGAGGGAGAGAGAGACCTCGAATCACCAACAAAATCGTTGGAAACGACATCCTCGTCAGTGTACCCAAGAATTCCTTGAAGGGGACCCTCAGAAGCATACCTTGAATAATAAGAAAGAGCATTTGTTAAGCAGCTTAATAATTACAATCATCAATTTAAAGGGGATGATATCAGATGGCATACTTCATTGCAGCTTTAACGTCTTCATAAGAAGCATTCTTCTCAAGTCGACAAGTTAAATCCACAACAGAAACGTTCGCTGTTGGCACTCTAAAGGCCATACCCGTAAGTTTCCCATTTAGTTCTGGTAACACCTTCCCTACAGCCTGTAGTTTTAACAACATACCATACAAAACAATAAATCTTCCATTTGGGCAATCTCTTCTCATCTTCAGAAGTTTTCACCAATCATATAATATACGATTTCATGTCACATTAAAGATCCTCGTACCTTGGCAGCACCAGTGGAGCTAGGGATGATGTTCTGTGCAGCACCACGACCTCCACGCCAATCCTTCATCGAAGGTCCGTCAACAGTTTTTTGTGTAGCTGAACAATTAGACAGACATATAGTCCTGATTAAGAGTAAACTACAGAAAATGCAAAATGAGTGTATCTAAGGGGCTGTTTGGTTGGTTTTCCATTAAGTCCTGTATGGATAAAGCTGTCTGTGTGGATTAATCTGTTTCTATAGACTGGGAAGGTTTTGTTTGGGAGGGTTTTCTCATAGATGGAAGGAGCATGTTTTTAATTGGAAAGGGAAGATTTGGAAAAAAAAACTCGGGCTTTTTGCATAAAGCTCCCCTTTAGAAGCTTAATGAATAAGCCATTTTCTATATCATTAAGCTGCTAGGCCAGTATGCACACAGCACACACGGATTCATATGCACAAACATGAAGAGGCAGACCAGACCTGTGGTTGCATGCACAGTTGTCATCAAACCTTCAACAATACCGAACTCCTCATGAACCACCTGTAAAAAGTAGCATTTTCAAAACAAGTTGGACAGCAAACATAAAAGTGGCACATCTTTCCCTTGTATTCGCTTCTTGATTCCTTTTTCCGTTCGATTATAAAAGAGAGGGACTGTACCGACTTAAAGATCTTCCCAACCATCAAAGAAACATAAAATTGTGATAGGGAAATGTTGTTCTACAATTCTTTTTCTTTAAAAAAGAGGAATGAGTTGAAAATGAGGCCGACAATTGCAAAAGAACTAAAAAAAACGGTACCTTGGCCAAAGGAGCCAAGCAGTTAGTGGTGCAGCTTGCATTGGATACAATATCCATGCTTGGCTTGTATGTGGTCTCATTTACTCCTACAACAAACATAGGTGCATCAGCTGATGGAGCTGAGATCACCACCTTCTTGGCGCCACCCTGCACATTAAAGCCAACCAAAATGAACCTAAGGGTGCACAAATGCCTCCTTACAACTTTAAGTAAACTAAAATCCATGGTTTACCTTCTTGTGTGCAGAAGCCTTATCAAGTGTTGTAAAAACCCCAGAAGATTCTACAACATAGTCGGCTCCAAAATCACCCCAAGGAATAGTTGCCGGGTCCCTGAGCACAGATGGTGTTGAGTTTTGGCATCAAATTAACAAAAAGCTTATTTCACCAAGTAACAAAAGTATAATCAAAACCACAAAGGTTGTGGCGTCGTCATTGAGGTCCTGGGGGATGTGGTGGAATATCCCATCTGCCCAGGATTCGATTCCAGAAGTACACAACAATTGCCATCGAGTTTATCAGGACTGATAGCTCGGGACACCCTTCCATAAAAAGTATAGATCAATTTAGACGCAAGAAAATCTAAATACCTTTGGCTGGTCACTTTTATCTGCTTTCCATTGATTTCCAAAGTGGACTCATCAACTACCTTGATGGTTCCTCTAAATAGACCATGAGTAGAATCATACTTCAACATGTAAGCCTGAAAGGGCATTCATCTCATGGTTATCTTGAAGTGCAATTTATGTTAACTTTAACCAAATCATCATAATCAAGATAGTGTATTAGAACCAAATCATTATCAAAGTGTATTAACCAAATATCATGGTTATCTTGAAATACAATTGATGTCAATTTCTCCAAAGTGTATCAGTGTAGGTTTGCATTTACGCCTAGCCAAGTATGCCCACCACACAATCAAGACAAAAAAACACCATAAATTTGATAGCTCAAGTAACCTATTGTTGACAATCAATTTCTGGTTTTACCAAAAGCTTAGAACCATAATTTTGATGGTGTTCTTTCTCTGTACTAAAAAGATGATGAAAGTGGACAACATAGTCCAATGGATGTGTATAGAGATGTAAACCCAGGTTTTATTGTTTTCTCCAACTATTTCCACCATTTCTTTCAGAAATTTACATGCTGTGTAATCAAAATTTTGTTCAGTGATTGCTATTGGTCCCAATTTTGCACACATATGCTTCATGATCTACATTGTGCAAACCCAACCATGGTGCAGAGAATTACAGAGCACATTTGGTAATACTTGGTGAAAACCGTTCCAAAATTTAACTTACAGAACCCTCATAGTAGCTACATATTTTAAGAGGGCCACATTGTTGAACTAATCACAAGGAATCATCAAACAAACCAAGAAATAGTCACATCGAAGCTCATCCTTACCATGTACTTGGAATCAATAAAAGGGTCATTTACTGCAACAACCTCGATATCGTCTCTAAATGTTGCTATTCTCAATACCAACCTTCCAATTCTTCCAAAACCTGTAAGGTTCATTCAAATTAGCACAATGATTGATCTTCAATGCCTACCCAGTAAATAAACAAAATGATATATGATCATCAGATAAACAAGACCATTATATTCCCATTTTCATCTGATGAAGTAATTGTTCAAAAGTAAATCTTGAACTTCATACATAGCGTATTGCAGTTTAGTACATAGATTGCCAGATAATAACACTAACATCAATCAATAATAAGAAAATAAAAACAGTAATGATCTATTTGCAATCATTGGTTATTTAAAACAGCAAGAACCTGATAATTTTGAGAAAACATACCATTGATTCCAACCCTGGTCTTCCCACTGGTACTGGACTCTACGTAAAACCCAAGTACGTACAAAATTCGTCAGAAACAATTAGTCGAACACTTGGAAGGTATGCTATGAACACGTATACATATTCTTACTTGGAACAGCAGGGGGTGCCTGGGTGGCAGTGGCTTTAATCGGATTAATACGGCATGCATGAGATTTCCTGTATGATTCAAAGAACAAGATGATCATTTCTCGAATAACAAAAGCGATACAGTTATCAGATGATTATCGTAGCGATTTAAAAACCCAAAAAACACAACAGAACTCAACTGTACAAACGAAGACTCCCCAGAAACGGCAGCACCCAAAAAGGTGGATGGAAACTTCACCTACAACAATGTAATGAGTGGAAATTGAGGCGACATATAAAACATCAAGAATTCAAGATTAAGGTGGTGGATGAAGAAAAGAAAAAACAAATCAACAAATGTAACCTGCGATCGAGAAGCTAAAGAAGGGGCGGAGAGTGGTTGATTGGAAGCTTGAAGAACAGGAGATGGGTTGGTAGATCTGAGAAGAGAAGAGAAGGCCATGAATGTGGGTTGGTGGATCTTTGGTGTTCTTGCGTAAAGACCAAAACCCTAAGAGAGAATAAGAAGGTAAAGAGATGATGGCTTTTGAGTATAGAGAGAAGGCCCTTTGATGGAGTATTTAAATGGAAGGGGGGTAGGCAGGCGGCTGGCAGTGTTAAACCCTTTCTCACACAGTTCAACGTTCAAGAAGAAAGGTGTCACAGTTCTTGCCATGTCTGAAAAATCAGATTTGTAGGTTGTTTAGGTAATATTTGATAGCTAGATATGATTGGACTGAGCTAGATAGAATAAAACACTAGGAAAAAAAAAAAGTAGGATTGGATTCGACTGGACATAACAAATTGTTTGTCTTCTGTTTGATTAAAATTGAATAGGATAAGATTGAACCGGACATGACAAGTTGTTTCTCTTCTGTTTGATTAAAACCAAATATGACAGATTTAGATTTTGATTAGACATGACAAGTTGTTTGTCTTATGTTTACTTAAAACCGGATAGGACAAGACTGGATTAGATGAGACATAACAAATTGTTTGTATTTTGTTTGATGAGACATTGTTTTGTGTGTTGTTTGATTAAAACTATAGAGGATTGGACCTGACATGACATGTTTACTTAAAACCGGATAGGACAAGACTGGATTAGACTAGACATAACAAATTGTTTGTATTTTGTTTGATGAGACATTATTTTGTGTGTTGTTTGATTAAAACTGTAGAGGATTGGACCTGACATGACAAGTTGTATATCTAGCGTTTGTCTTGGTTTCACTTACCAAATGCAATGTGTGTATATATATATATATAGAGAGAGAGAGAGAGTTTGTTTCAAATACAACCCGTCGTATTTGTACAACTAATGCAACCAAATAAATTGAGATATTTATGGAAATAATGAGAGTTCATTTATTATGATTTGAATATTTATGGAAGATGAATATGGTTCATTAATTATGATCAATACTTTATATTAGGAAACAATCAAAACTTCTATGAAATCATATATTAATCAAATGAAATGGACGGTTGAGATTGGATTGTATTGGTTGTACAAATGTCAAGGGTTGTATAATAATCAATCTCTATATATATATATATATATATATATATATATAATTTTTATTTTCTTAAAATAAAGTATTTAAAATCAAAATATATAAAAATTAATATATTCACCTCCAACATCTATTTTATTTCAATAATTTCATAAATTAATGATACTGGTAAGATATTCTATAAATTTATTAATACAATGCATTTTTTAAAAAGAAAAAATTTGTAAATAAAAACAATTAAAATAATATATTTATTTCGTACATATCAACTTTTAGAATTTTTCTCCAAATTTGAAGAATTCTAGCTTTTTCAATATTTTAGAGTACATTTTAGCATAGTTGTTGGAATTAAAAAAAAAACTTTTGAAAGCATCTTTTTTTTTATTAACATGGATATGCAACTCGTTATGCGAGCCGACTAATCCTAAGACGACCACCCGTTTCGCAGGTAACCTGGAGTCAGCGTATTTGAACCTTCGTGGCCACAAGAGAATTTTTATTCTCTCTTAGATTCGAATATGGGACCTCCAAACACTTTTGACCTTTGGAGTACAATTTCAAATCAATCAGACACCACCCTTGTGGTTTTTTGAAAACATCTTACAGTTTATCTAAAATGGAAAATCAAAGTTAAAGAAAATTAATTGAACTTTGATAGATTTTTATTTTAGATATAAAAAGGTGGGAAGTAAAATTTTAATTCTCTCCCATAATAATCACTTTTGGGAGTTTTTCAAATTTGGATAAAGTTTCAAATTTGAATAGTCCGTTTTAAATGCATTAAATCTTCAAAATCCCTACTTTATCATAGTTGTTGGAGATATCTTACTGTAAAAGAAACTGTTTGGTTAAATGTATTAGACAGTAATCAATGAGAATAAAAATAAAAGAAACTGTTTGGTTTTATATAATATAATAGACTCATTTCCCCAAAAATCCAAATTTTGATTTCAGGTTAAACTATTATTATTTACATTCTCTGTCATTATCATTATCATTTTCATTATTCTTACTCAACCAAAAATATAGAGATATTGTAATTGGATAATTAAATAGAATGGGTTGGATTAATAAAATAGATTGTTTATGATTGGGTTTAAACAAAACATTGACTTTTCAATTAGATTTCTTTTTTCTTTTAAATATATATGACATATATTATTTTGGATGTAAATTGTTAATTAAATAAAAAAAGATTTGCCTTTACTAATATTTTATATTTTAATTTGTTAAATCTATTATACATCTTGTAATTTCTATTTACTAAATTTCAGAATAGAGGGACGTTCAAATACAACCCCTCTAAATTATACAACCGATGCAAGTAATTTGTCTATTCACCATCCGTTTTTTTGTTTTCTTTTTTGGTTTTTTGTAAATTAAATGGTAGTTACAACCGATCATATAGTAACCGTTGATTAATAAATAGACGCTTCTGATTTGATTGTAAGAATTGTAGGAATGTAAAGAGTTGCATAACTCAACTCTTCATCTATATTATATTAATAAGCATTTAAACCAAAAGTCTTGAATGCAATTTATAAAGCCCAAAGTACTACCCTTTTATCCATAAATTTCAAAAATCTCTTAATTACAACTTTACATGCATAAGGTACAATTGTTGATGCACACCACCAATAACATCCAAGTTGAAACTTACAACTTTACTTTATTTCTTTCAAGATTTTTTCCTTCCTTATTAAGAGTTTTTTTCCTTTCTTTTTTTGGTATCTTCACACTATTCTTTATTCATTCAAACTTTTATTTTAGCTAATTTTAGCCCTCCTATAATATAGTGTGTATATATATATTATAGATTGATTACTTTATTAGTATAATGTATTTAAATATTTTATTTATGTATTTACATACTTATAATTAAGAGGACCTTGACTCCGTCTAGGATTATTTGTGCCTATGAATTTGAGTAATATTTTATAAATGGCTGTAAATATATGCACATGTGAATATACATTAAATGTGTATTCGTTTAGATATTAACATATATCTTCACATGTAAATAGTTTCAAACAAGGAGGATGCGTCTTTCTGAAAATGTACATTATAAACGATATCTACATGTAAATCAAAGGTGAATATGAGCATATTCACATATGAATTTATATTACAAGTGATGGTTAAACAAATTTCAAACTTAAAGACTCGGTTGCATATATCATTTTAACGAGAATAAAATTCTCAAAATTTCAATATAATTCGTTTAATTCAAATTTCTGATCTCCCAAAACAATCATATAATGGCAAATGCCAACACCATATTATCCTTTATTCCCCCAAGCTTGTATAAAGTCATGGCAAATTAACTGCCATTAGTTCAAACATCAAAAACATTGACTCAATTCTACACTATATATAACTTTCAGCAATAAGACCATTTTGCCCTTCAGTTGGAAGCCGCTGCCACCAACGCCATATGCTCGATCAGGTCCAACACTCGGTTGCTGCACACAACACAGTCCTTTAATAACCCACAACAAACAGTCAAATGGGCCCGATTCCGGGGTCTTTTCCAATCTTTTAAGAGACCATGTTATACATGTACCAAGACTATAGATCGACTCGACGAGTAATAAATAAAACAAAATATAAAAGTTACGGTAATCAATAGAATCGTAGACATTACAAATTAGAGACTAGAGAGCTAGGGAGAAGGGACTGCAACCAGAGATGGAAAACGTCAAATCAGCTAAAAGAGTAACACCCTAAAATATTACAATTGGGCTAAAACATGTACAGCTGACCTCCGAAAAGTTTTGGGGGTTTGTTCCGGGTTATTTAGCAAAATGACCTCCGAAAGGTCATGATTTAAAAAACTTGTTAGAAGATTACTTAACCAAAGGACCAAGTCTGTTCCATATCTCATATTGGTACACCCTCAAGCACGGTCACGCCCAAATTAGACATTTTCATGGAGGATGGATATGACAAAGAGAAGGATGTATTATGTACCTGTAACCCCACTCATTGTCGTACCACGACACCAGCTTCACAAACGATGCACTTAGCCCTATCCCGGCTTTTGCATCAAAAATACTTGATCTGAGGAAACCACAATAGAATTGTTTGTTAAGAACTTCAAAAATGAAAAGCAGAGTTAGATGAGAAGGCCCATAAGCACACGAGAGCATATAATATATAGAGTTTGTTTCAAATACAACCTATCGCATTTGTACAACCAATGCAACCCAAAAAATTGAAATATTTATGGAAATGATGAGAGTTTATTTATTATGAATTAAATATTTATGGAAGATGATTACGGTTCATTAATTATAATTAATACTTTATATTAGGAAATAATCAAAACTTCTATAAATTACATACTCATCAAATGAAATGGACGGTTGAGATTGGGTTGTATTGGTTGCACAAATGTCAAGGGTTGTATAATAACCAACCTCATAATATATATATATATATATATATATATATATATAGAGAGAGAGAGAGAGAGAGATACCTGCAATCACCAACAAAATCATTGGAGACAACATCCTCATCGGTGTACCCAAGAATTCCTTGCAAGGGACCCTCGGAGGCATACCTTCGATAAATAAGAAGGGGCATTGATGAGGCAACTTGGTAATTACATTCAAGGGTGCTAATCATATGAGAACCACAAGAATGTTACGAACCCGTGAGAACCAAATTTATGTATTGTTTCACATTATATTTTTCATCTAAGACTAAGATTTTAAAGATATTGTTTTATATATATACACACACATACATATGAGAACGACGGAAAGGTCACAAATCCGTGAGAACCAATCTTAATGTCTTGTTTCACATGAGCAATTTCATCTAAGACTAAGATTTTTAAGGTATTGTTTCATACATACATACATATATACACACACACACACATATAGTTAGGTTCATACGAAAACAGTAACTAAATAAGAAAATAAGAAAACAGTCGAACCACATGTGATTTTACATTAACATCACGTGTAAAATCACATGTGATTCATGCGATTTTGGCCACGACCTGCGGGCCACGTCGCCTGCACACCCTTGCGTTGACCGTTAGTGTAAAAGCACATGTGGTTTTTGCACGTGATTTTGCCATTTTTGTATTCTTTTATTTGGTTATTGTTCTCGTCTGAACCTCCCTCTCTCTGTGTGTATATATAGGGGTGATTTCAAAGACAAACCATGTAATTCTTACAAAACCATACAAACCATTAATAGGAAAAAATTGAGATATTTATGGACAATTATCATGATTCATTAATTGTGATTGAGATACATATGCATAGAAGATGACAAAGTTCATTCATTAGACTAGATGGACGGCTAAGATTGGTTTGTAAAGTTTGTTAGAATTGCATGGTTTGTAAATTAAACGTCCCCTATGTGTGTGTGTGTATACTATATATTTTTCTTTCACATGTATTTGTCTCATAATGTGAAATACTTTTTATACGTGTATATTTTGTTTCACAATGTGAAACAACACATGATTCACTAATTCTCACGGTTCTCAACCTTTTTCACGTTCTCATTTGATTATGCCCTGTTACATTTAAAATCTTTTTGACAAATCTTGTCTCTACAAATTTTCTTTGCAACTCCTTTTTGCAAGCCAGGGTTCTTCACGAAAACAACCTCTATACCATGTAGGGCAAAGGAAATGTATGCATACATCCTATTCCTCCTAGACCCTACTTTCGAGTAAGATATATTGGGTTCATTTAGTTTAGTTTGGTTTATAAGCGGAAAGTAGTAAAGGCAAGTAAGATCTCAAACGGTGTACTTTATTGCAGCTTTGACATCTTCATAAGAAGCACTCTTCTCTAGTCGACAAGTTAAATCCACAACAGAGACATTAGCCGTTGGGACTCTAAAAGCCATGCCCGTAAGTTTTCCATTTAGTTCCGGTAGCACCTTCCCTACAGCCTGAAATTTTAAAATAAATCTCCCATGTGAACAAAATCTTATGCAAATTACAGAAAATCAAGCATGTTCACAAGTTCTTGTTTCAAAAGTTTCCACTGATCATATAATATATAATTTCATGTTACAAGAGTTTGAAGACCCTCGTACCTTGGCAGCACCAGTTGAACTAGGGATGATGTTTTGTGCAGCTCCACGACCTCCACGCCAATCCTTCATTGAAGGTCCATCAACGGTTTTCTGTGTAGCTGAACAAATATAGACATGGAAATACATCCATAATTAAAACGAAACTGCAGAGAACTCAAAATGGGTGTTTCACTATGTTTGGCAAACTAGCTTATCTGCTAGCTGTTGGCTGAAAAGCTAGTTGTTGGCTAATAAGCCATTTGATAAACTAGTCCTGTTTGGTAAAAACTAGCTACGCTCCTTCCAAACAAAAATCTTCCCAATCTATACAACCAGATTAATTTACAAAGACAGCTTTATCCATACAGGACTTAATGAAAAACCAACCAAACAACCCACATTATCATCTGGCTTATTAGCCAATTTCTATAGTATTAAGCCACTACCAAATAGTCATGCATAGTTGACTGAATAAGTTGTGGGTCTCACTAAGCTCATTAAGCTGCTAACAAACAGGCTCGTATACCTAAAAGGACATCTTTAAAAAATAATGTGGTGCTGCAGGACAAAAGCTTACGACGTGGTGTTGTGGGCCTCACAACACTACCTAGGTGTGTAGCTCGTTGATCCTCGTTTTAATTAATAAATATAAGGGCATAACTGGAAAAGAGTGGAACAAAAACTTTTGGAGCTTATTAAAATGCTACTTGAAGTTTCTTTTCAAAAGCTAGCTTATGGCAAATCAAATGAGACTTTTTCAATAAGCTCAAAAAATGAGGTAGCTTATGGTTGCCAAATATGGCCCTTATATGTCCGAGCATGCACACAGTACAGTACACACATTGACACATCCACAAATTTGAAGAGGAAGACCGACCTGTAGTTGCATGCACAGTAGTCATCAGACCTTCAACAATACCGAACTCCTCGTGAACCACCTGCAGAAAAGTAGCATTCAACAAGACTTGGACAGCAAACATAAAAAAAAGCCACATCTTTCCCTCTTATTTGCTTCTTCTTAATTCCTTTTTTACTAATATGAAAGAAAGGAACTGCAATGAATTCAAAGATCATCCAAGTTATTAAACAATTACAATTTTCATGAGAAAATGTTACTGTACTTACGAAAGAAGAAGAAAAGATGAATGATTAGATAAGGGGACGTATAACTGTTTTGGGAACTTGAAAACCAACTATTCATGTTTTATTCATGATGAATGTCGTGATAGATATTCATAATGAAAACACATGGAATTCATGATAAAAATGCACGACTTTCATGATGAAAATGCATGACATCATGATTGTGAAAATGCAAGATATCGTGATGAAAATATTGAATAATACCTAAAATAGTTGGTTCACAAAATAACCCTGATGAAAATGCATGCATCCATGATGAAAATGCATGATATCATGAATTGTGAAAATGCATGATAATCATGATGAATAATATTCATGATTTATTGAGGATTATTCATCATGAATATTGAATAATACATGAAATGGTTGCTTCCTAGGTTCACAAAATATTTACGGTTCTCGTTTGAACTTACAACTGCAGAAGAACTCAAAAGAATCTTACCTTGGCCAAAGGAGCTAAGCAGTTAGTGGTGCAACTTGCATTGGATACAACATCCATGCTTGCCTTGTATGTGGTCTCATTTACTCCTACAACAAACATAGGGGCATCAGCTGATGGAGCTGAAATCACCACCTTCTTAGCACCACCCTGCACATTGAAGCCAACAAAAATCAACCAGGGTGCAAATGCCCTCTTAGAACTTTAAGGGTGAGTTTGGTACACAGGCGGTACTAGACAGGCAAGAGCAAGGTAAGCAGGTGAAAGAAATGTGTAAGGTTTTAGGGTTTCAATTTTGCGTGGGTAGTTTAGTAATCTACCAATCTTGTCCCATCTCCCACATTTTTGTTTCACCTATTTTGGTTGGACAAATGGGGTAGACTAAATGCACCCCTATCTACTAATTTTTTCCTCGCCCACATCAACATTATAACTCACTTTTTACATTTTCAATGTATGATTTGACCTAATTCTGATTCTGACATAAATAGGAGTGCATACAACAACACCCACCAAAGAAATGCATTTTTGTGCCACTTAGTCTAGTCTTGTCATGTCCCAATCTCATGTCGTGCCAAATATGGGACAATAAATTTTTGATTTGCCTTGTCCTGCGTATCAAACATTACCCAAGTAAACTAAAATCCTTCATTTACCTTCTTGTGTGCGGAAGCATTATCAAGTGTTGTAAAAACTCCGGAAGATTCTACAACATAGTCAGCTCCAAAATCACCCCAAGGAATCGCTGCTGGGTCTCTGAGCACAAACGATGTTGATGTTTAGGATCAAATAAACAAGATCTCATTTCAAAAGTAACAAACGTATAACTGTTGTTTACCAACATAAGACCATTTGAATACCTTTGGCTACTCACTTTTATCTGCTTCCCATTGATTTCCAAAGTAGACTCATCAACAACCTTGATGGTTCCTCTAAATAGGCCATGTGTAGAATCATACTTCAACATATAAGCCTAAAAAAGGGCGTTCATCTCGTGGTTATCTTGAAAGTTGAAATACAATTGATGTCAATTTTAACCAAATCATCATATGTCTAAGCATATAAGTCATCAAAAAAGGGGAAAGTACAATAAAGAACCTAATGATCATGTAGAGGCACGCGTATGAGAGCAAGTTACGCAGTGGTTACAATTTTTACAAGTGTCTAACCAATTACACCACACAACCATGATAAAAAAGAAACACTATGCAAATCCAAGATTGTTGTTTGCTCATTCTATTTCTACCCTTTCTCTTATATATGTATATGAAGCCAAATTGACACTAACCCAATATATCTCACTCGAAAGTTGGGTTTGGGAGAGTGGGATGTATGTGCTTGTAATCAAAGAAATGGTTCAAGAATCGGTACTGGTCCTAACTTGCACACATATGCTTCGTGATCTACATTGTGCAAACCTGATCATGATACCGAGCACAATAGACAAATTTGGTAACACTTTGTCAAATCTTTCCAAACACAATTTAGAGAACCTTCTTTTTTGAAGGATATAATATACATATATGTATATATATATATATATAAATATATATGGAAAATAAGATCATGCACCCTCCTTACCTTTTGTGAGGTTTGAACCCTTGACCCCCTGGGAGGTTGGGCTCTACCAGTAACCTAGACACCGCTAGGCCAAAGGCCCTTTGGTTAATTTAGAGAACCTTCATAACAACCTCAAATTCCAATGGTCTATTCAATCAAGGTTTGTTATTTGGTTAATTTAGAGAACCAAAGACATGAGCTTTTGCATATTTTTGTTAATCCATGAGCAGGATCATACATCTTGATTGAAAAGAATCAAGAGAAAAGAGAAGAATTGAAATTGATCGGCTATTTCTTGAAACAAATGAAAAGGAGTCACGTTAAACCTCATACTTACCATGTACTTGGAATCAATAAAAGGGTCGTTGACTGCAACAACCTCTATATCATCTCTAAATGTTGCTATTCTCAATACCAACCTTCCAATTCTTCCAAAACCTGCAAAGTTGAAATTAACACAATCATGCTACAAAATAATAAATGATCATCATATAATCAAAGACATTACATGCCCACTTTCATATGATGAGGTCATCAACGGGTGCCTTGTTTGATTCAATCGAACGTGCAACTACCACGAACTCGGTAATGAAGCATTCCTCAACAAATTGGGGAATGAAATCATGAAACTCGCCCATTTCCATCCCCCAACTTTCCCATTCCCATTAATATAAATCACTTGTCCCAACCTCCATAACAAATCATTGGAAGTCTATTGAAAAGTGGGAATAAAAAGATGAATTAAATAAATTAAAAAGAAGTGTCATAAGTTGATCGGTGGAGCAGGGAAGGGATATAGGTGATTTGCATTCCATTCCCATGGCCATTTTCATTCCTGAAATGAACCAAAAGCCCCCTAAATCTGGAAACTTGAACTGAACCACCAACTTCAATTTCATAAACACCCTATGGGTAAGATTAGCACATAGATGCCAAAAGATAACAACAATAATGAACTATTTGCGATCATGATCACTCAAACAGCAAGAACATGATGAATCTTAAGAATGTATACCATTGATTCCGATCTTGGTCTTCCCACCGGTACTAGACTCTAAGGAAAATCCAAGTAGAAATGTCAGAAAGAAACAGTAACTTGAGCATAAGATCAAACTGATGGAAGAAGGCATGTTTATGAACGTTTATATATGTTCTTACTTGGAACGCTAGTGGGTGCCTGAGTGGCAGTGGCTTTGATTAGATGAATACATCGTGTGTTAGATTTCCTGCGTGATTGGATAAATGAAGAAAGCATTGGGGAACAATTGATCAGATTATAATAGAAATATGTAAAAATCTAAGAACAAAAACAAACCCCAACTGTAAAGAAAAAGATTCCCCAGAAACGGCAACACCAAACAAGGTGGATTGAAGCTTTAACGATGATGCCTGAAATAATTGAACACAATTTAAAACAAGAAAAGTGAAAAGTAGAGTATAAAACATCAGGAATTCAAGATTAAGTGTTGGAACTTTGTTAGAAAAAGGCTTATATTTGAGAAAACTTGTCCTAGATAGGAGCCTTATGGAGAATGAACTCAATCCTTGAGCATTAGATGAATAATTTAAGAGCATGGGCTTTGATGTGTGGATGTTCATGGTGGGCTGTCATTGACATGAATACATGTTAAATGTCAAAGATAGGGTTGTTGCATACAGATGCTGTACCCGCGAATTTTGTCTTAGGACATCATGGTGCAGACCTCAATCTTCTTCCAAAAACTACAAGAATCTACCCTATCAAGTAAGAAATTCTGATAGAACTGTATGCTGTTATGATGTTTACACTCTAGATTTATATAAGAATTTCATTTTCTGCAATCTCTTTACATATATGTATATATATATACATGTATTGAACAAGTGATCCTAACATTAACATTAAGGTGGTGGATCATGAAGATAAAGTTTAAGAAACAAGTGTAACCTGCGATCGAGTGGCGGAGAGGGATAGACGGGATGGTTCAAGAACAGATGGCGGGTTGGTTGATCGGAGAACAGACGAGAAAGCCATGAATGTCGCTGTTCTTCAAAACCCTAGAGAGAGAAGGAAAAAAGAAAGGGGTTTTGTAGAGAGAGAGGGGTAGAAAGGTGGCCGTTTTGGGAGTATTTAAATGGCGAAGGTCAGCGGAGATTGTTATGGGAAGGTAGACGGCAATTGTTTGGTTTCTCTCTGTTCGTCTTTACAGCTGTTGAAGAAGAACAAGAAGGGTTGTTTAACGGTGGTGGTGGTGGCGGTGGCGGCGGTGGTGGTTCCGGATTTTTGGGAGTCGCCGGAGGGATGTGTCGTTGTTTCTGATGTCAAAAGTGTCGTTTTGTGGAGCGTCCACCTACCCATGCTCTGACTTGGACCTCGTAAAACTCGCCAATTTTTTGTTTTAAATTTAAAAGTAATAAGTAACATAAAAAAAATAATTGAAAATATTTGATTTGTTTGTTTTTTGAAAAATTGACTAATAAATTACCTGATAATTGATAAGTTAATTGATAATTGATGAAAAAAAGTCAAAAAAGGTTTAATGAGTAGTAAAAAATTACATTTCTCACTTAAATCTGTAAAAAAAAATTTGGGGACTTAAGGCTATTTTAGTAAACCTTGTTAATAAGTAGCTAAGAAGTGAAATCAACCGATAAAAATGATTATTTTAATTAATTTATCTAAATATATTTAGTTATCAAAATGCAAATATAACTATTTTAATGATGTTTATACAACATAAAAACTAAAGTTATACTTATTTTATTTTATAGATAATAATA